AAAACTTAATCCGTTTAACCATTCAATAAAACCATTCAAATATCATCAATGTCGAAAACTTCATGCCGATTATTATTGGTATGGACTAATTTATACTTGTCATGCCAAACTTTAGTAATACAACCACCCAGTCGGTGTGATGTGTTGAGTCTTCAGCTACCACTACTTAGGCTGATTTCCAAATGGCTAGCGACGTCATGTGAGGGCCAGCCAATTAAGTTCAACACACTTGTGACGTCTCTTGTAAGCATTCAGTTAAATCTGATACGAATATTGATTCAGAGTGATAACAAACTCAATCCTTAAAGCTATAACGTTAACACGCCATGCACAATCACTTGATTAAACACAAACTTATGATTAGGCAAGTTAAGACTAAAGTGATCCTTGACCTCGAGAAAATAAAAAATAAAAAACTGATAATAAAATTTTTATACGAATGTTTGATAACTACTAAATGCTTTTCCATTCCTAGTTAATATTCTTAAACAGAGATCCTTCGCAGGGATTCTCCAACAAAAAAAATTTTTTAAGAAGATAAAAAAGTGAATTTTTGAATGTTCCTTTAGAAATTTCGTTGCCAATTTTAATTTGATAATAATGATCACCTTAAGTTACACAACCATGTGATTTATCCAATGAATGCCTGATTAATCAGCTCCTTGTGTGACTATGTCTTAATGCTTCGGAAACAATTGTAATGCAATGTCTTCGATGATTTCAGAGCTGTAAAAAACCACTTACGATCGGGATGTTGGTTAGCGTGGTGCGGAAGCCTAATGACGCTCCAATCTAAATTGTGATTGTGTAAGGCGCGCAATAGTTCATTAGTGTAACTCTAATGTAACGTAAGGAACAAAACCAAATTGCTACTGCCATTATCTAGCTTTTTTTAATTTAATAATTTCCTTATAACGAGAAAAATTAAGCGTTAGTTTAACTATTTTTTTACAATATCTTTCCCTTTGCAAGAGAAATAATCCTGCCTATTAATTCAGTTTGTTATTAACGATCTTCATTATAATTCTTTTTTAGTCCTCTAATTTAAAGAAGCTACGTTAGAGCTGTCGTTTATTTTTACTAAGAGTGAAAAAAAATTATTTCTATTTTTTTTTCTTTCTTTCATCTTTCAGTTTCTTTGAAGCAAATGTGAAATTTGTGAAGTGCGTAGCACCTTCCGTAAAAGCTTTTATTCAATTAACTTTTTACTCTTTTAAATAAGGAAGAAAGGATTTATTACAAAGAACTCTGCATATGAAAATATGAATCTTATTCTTTGTTCAGTAATTAAATTATGGGGTACTTTTTATGCTACACTTTTCAAAATTTAAATAAGAAACCTCTTCTTAGTCTATGAATTTAATGCGTATAAAAGTTTTTAAGTAGAAAAGAAAAAGGAAACGCAATGAATAAATAAAATATGTTGTAATTAGGGTGTACTAAAAATAGATAAAGTTTACTAAAAATGTATAATCACTTTAAAATAAAACAAATTGTTATAAAATAAATCTGTTTACAAAAATATAATCTTTAATCTTTGTATTAGTAGTTATATAATGGGATATTTTAGGCTGATTTTTTAGAAATTTTTATACAATGCATTTTTGTATTAAAAGAACCTAATTTTCATAAGAGTTAAAAGAAAGTGCAAGATAATAAATAAAACATGATATAACTAAAGCACACTGAAAATGGATTATAAATAAAACTTATTAAAAATATGCACTCAGTGAAAATAATTTAATTGTTATAAAAAAAAGCTCTGTATACAAAGCTCTGCATAAAAAACTATATTCTGTGTTTTAGCATTTAATATTATGAAATATTTTTAACTGATTCTTTCCAAACTTATATAAGATGCATTTTTGAACTAAGAAAAGTTATAAAAATCACAAAATAATGTAAATGAATAAAAAAACATGAATGAATTAATGTTTACTAAAAACAAGCAATAAATAAAGCTAACTAAAACTGTGCCCTCACTTGAAAATAAAAATATAAACTGTTACCTTGCACTCACCTGAAAATAGATTGTTCCACTCCACTGCCCTTCACGTTAATGATCAAAATTTTAATTCTTTGAAATAAAATCTCCAATGCCTGAGTAATTAGGCATAAAGACGATAAAAACCTCCGATACATGGTTTAGTGGTGATAACGTGCTATTAATCAATAACAAATGATTAGAAACAAAATGTATTGCAGCATATTATGCATTACATAAGATATTTATTGCATAAATTTTCCTACAAATTCTACAAAGATATGCTGGAAATGAAGTTCTAAAATTAATTAAGGCGACCAGGAACCGTTAAAATCTGCTGATTTTGCGGAAAAAAATGAATAAGTTGGAACAAAAAAAATTTTGAAAATTTTTGGTGCGAACTTTTTGCATACCCTCTTTAAACACCTCTAAAAAGAAACGTTTTTTTACAGATTACACAAAACTTTTATTTTATCAAGCAACTTTTCTGGGTAGAAAGAGTTCAATTATATTCCGCCTAAAATCAAAATGTTCAACAAATAACTATCATAGATCTTCCGGGAGCCAACCTGGCCGAGCGGTTTCGCTTTTCCACTTAATACCTTATATAGTGTTGGTAACGAGTTCAAATCCCCTGAAACCTTGGATGTATATTTGTGATATCATGCTCTAATTTTGTGTCACTGTAATGTGAACGCTAGCCGAAATATGTTTTATTTTAGTTTTACACACACGAGTACATGTGCAGGTTTGCGTGCACATTACGGGACCGGTGACTAAGTGTAAGAGAGTTGAGTCCATGTCCGAGAGATCGTGAGTTTGATCTTCACCAGTCGATAACTCCCCGTTTTCAATATGGTTCCTGGTGCACGCTAAATCTATCAAGGTTACAAAATCCTCCCAAGTTCCCATGACAAATCAATACCTACTGGATGGGAGACTAATCACACTCTGGCTCAGGTCGAAATTACGATTTGTGGTTGGATGGGTGGTGTGTGACTATGTCCTCCCTGTAAAACAGGATATGACGTATGGGTGTTTTCTCCGGATCATCTTCAGAGATGTTTCTCAGACTGTTGAGCCCACTGTGCAACTCTAGTGCGACATAAATAAATCTACCGTAAGTACTATACTTAAAGACAGCTTTTAAGCCTTTGTCAAGTCGAAGAATGGATAGAACAAATCAGAGAAGGATTTCACAAAGATACTTTTAACGATACATCCGGGATTCGAACCTGCAGTCTCAACCACACACGTTTGGTGAATCGACGAGACCACTCAGTCAGGAAAATCCCACCTGCATATGCATATTTAACAGTAAAAAAATAAAAGATGCTTCCAGAAATGTGTAACACTCATAAAATTGGCTAAACGCGTTAGGTGTAGGACGAAGGTCTCCCTAACCAAGCAGTTCCCCCGTTCTGAAAAATGCTCTGCACCGGGAAACACAGAATGTAACATTATGATGTCCTTCTGTGACAACCAGTTCTTCAAATTAACAAGGGCATATAAACCGTATTTGTAAAGGAACATATGCTGGCTGGTGTGCTCATGACAAAATACGTCTTATAAGACTTTGGTCAGGTTTAAGAAGAGATCGTACAAGTTGGAGAAAGGTATCGCAAAGAAGCATCCATGATTACCTCTGGATTCGAACCTGTGACCTCCAAGCTTCAGAGCGTTTGGAGGAATGACGAAAGCCATTCGGCCAGAGAGGCCCCACCTGCATGTGTATATGTAACAAAAAATAAATTAAAAGGTATGGGGCCTCCGTAAAAAGGAGTGTTGTCCATCCACCAATCGCTTCGGTGGAGGTCAATACTGCTATTAGAATCAGACTTGAATACTAATGTGAAAATCCTTCTTCTCTATTGTGGGGGCCAGGATGACCAGGCTGGTAGGGCGTTGGACCCATCTCCGAGAGATCGAAATATGTGAAATAATTTCAAGAAGGAAAAAATGTAAAAATGAAGGAATTTTTCTTCAATGACCTATGTCGCGTTTGTTTTATTACTAGAAGCATTTATTGTAAAAAAAATTTCTTATTAAATTACTTTTTTTCAATGGGATGAGATCTTAAACTTCGTGAAAAATTTATTCAATTCCTTAATATACATAAAAGTTCGTAAATACTTCATTTATTACGGAGATCATAGATACCTTGATACTCTTTCAATATTCGAATAATAAACTCTATTGGAAGAAATTCCCAGTATAAAAAACTTTATACCGGCTTATGAAACACCGGTTCCGGTATGATACTGGATTCAGTATTATAACGGACCCAGAACCATATCGGAACCGGTGTTTCATAGACCGGTATCAAATTGATCCCAGTATGATACCGGAACCAGTATCATACCGGAACCGGTGCTTCATTAGCAGGTATCAAATTGATCCCAGTATGATACCGGAACGAGCATCATACCGAAACCGGTGTTTCATAAGCCGGTATCAAATATATTCTGGTATGGTACAAGAACCAGTATCATACCGGGACCGGTGTTTCATAAGCTGGTATAAAATTTATTCCAGTATGATATCGAACCCAGTATCACTAGTGTACTGCACCCAGTAAACCGGGATGGTGTAACAATTTATTTTTAACACAAGTATAGTGAGGTACTACAGTTTGATACAGGAAGGTTAGTGAACTGCTCTGAATGGGAAAATAAAACATTGATACGAGTAAATAAATAAAGTTACCTGGTTTATACAGGGAAATAAAACATCCCCTATGAAACATCAATTCACACTTTGTCAAAAGCTATAGTTTGCATTAGGTTAATAAAAATCAAATAAACTGTTTTTTTTTTAAACTTCTACACAGTTAATGTAATTTTTTTAATAATTTATGTATTAGAAATAATTGTCAATAATATTTGAATCTAAAATACTACACAAAAAATGTTTTGCAGCTACATGCAGAAAAGTGTAAATGCATTCTTCAGATTTTATGAAAATTGATTGGGGATTAGAAATATTATGTAATGAATAGCCAAAAACTGACTAAAATAAGTCAAAATCTTAATTTTTATATCCTTTGAAATTACAAATTTGAATGATAAATTTTGTTAAATAAACCTCGGAAATATTTGACAAATGCAAATTCATATGCACAATAAGGAGACCGTGTGAAGTGTATATATCTATAAATATAAACATAAACAATCTAATTATAAAATTATGATTTCATATAAGTCAATTAACTTTGGTTTATATTTGTAATTGATAAATGAAATTGAATGTAAATAACACATATACCATATAATGTTCGAAATGCCGCCAAAATATTTGAAATAAATCTAATTTGACACTGTTCACTTACTTTGAAATCAGGCATTGTAAAATATAATTATATAATTATGTTACATTTTGATCAATGTACTTGCTTGCTACTATAGATTTAAATACAACCATTTTAATTTTAGATATATTTGATATTTAAATTATAGTCAACTTTAATCTTTCAAACATAATAGTGGTTAGAGTAGTAATTATAGCTACAAATAAAAGCTTAAATAACACAAGTTATTAACTAATATAAATAAAAATTTTGAATTATTTTACTCTGTCATTCTATTGACATTTTTCTTAAGATTCCTTGACTTAAAGCACAATTTGATATAGTCATTTTCTATTGGAAGTATTTAATTTTTATGATAATTTACTTATCACATAATATCTGAAAATTAAATTAGGAAAAAAAGTTATCGCCTATAAAAATTAAATCTCAAGAGCGAATTATTTATATAACGACACATGTTATTTTAGAAGGCTTTTCTTATCTCTCAATTGTTGTGAACTCAACAAGATATAATTAATATAATAATTAATATACATACTGAATAAAAACACACAACACAAAATGTAAACTTTTTAACATTGAATATGACATAATTTAAACTCTGTCTTCAATAAGATATAAGAATTACACAATTACTAAATGACATAAATATTACCATAACAGCCTGAAAAATATTAATCTTTTTATAATCAAACGAAATCAGTTTAGTAGCAATTTAGTAGTTCCTATAACGTGAAGCGACTGAAAAGCACTTTTAGTACACTTGTGTGCGAAATCAAAAATATAGCATTCAAATAGTTGATTGATTCACATAGTTTAAATATTATATCTTCCTTGTTGTGATTCATTTTTATTTTTTACATATGCAACCGTCGCTTGCAGGCCTTATCTGCGTCGACCATGCACTTTCTGACACTCACTTTTCCAGTCTATTTGATGTCTAGTTGGAGGTTGTCTGGTTGCGCAGGATCCCTCACTTTTCCTTAATGTCGACCTCTTAGTAGAATTATCTTTCTAACTTCACAAAATAAGAGCCAGCAACAATGTCTCCATTTAGAGCTCCTATTATAAACAAAATTCCAATTAACATCAAATGTAAACTAAACAACAATTTCAAAAAATCTCAGTTTTAACATTGCATGCCTTATCTTTTAATATTATGCTTTATCTGTTTATGCTAAATTTTAAATTACAATGTTGATTAAGTTAATATTTCAGATTGCAGTGTTAATTCCATTAGACATTTTTAACATTAGCTATTGAAATACACAGATTGCAAATAAATAAAAGATTAAAATAAATTATTTTAAATTAAGAATAAACACAATTATCTAAATTATATAGACTAATTTATACAGTAAAACAATTTTTCAGAATAACTATTAAGTATGAAAAATACAATTGCAAATACTACTTATTTTTCTACTACTATACCAATCAATTATAAATATTCTCAATACTTCAACTGGCTAATTGAAACTTAGATAAGCACGACAATAGTAAGAAAAATAATGGTCCACCAAAATTTTATTATTTTTGTAATTTGAAAGAGATTTCTGATAAAGGGAAGTTAATGTCTAACACAGGTATCGCTCATACTACCCACTTCCTGTTGACAACACAAAAGAATTCACAAACGCACACATCATGAAAGCACATTACCAACCTACTTTTTAGAGTGACTCCATGCAAAAGTTTAAGTATGAATGATCTGAAGTAACTTTTGACCATTTTAGTTTCAGTACAATAGTTTTTAAACAGTTCAGCTCATAACTTAGTCAAAAGATTAACATTTAAATACATTATCATGACAAAGCATATTAAAGGTATTAAACATAAGATTAAAATTTGAAATTCTCAGAGGCTGAACTCGAAGTAAAAATATTTAAACATTTAAATTTGCATATTTTTTATATTCATTAAAATCAAAGAAGGATTCAGTTCTATTTTATAATTAATTTGTAACTATAATATGAAAACTTACAAAAAGGTTTCACTAATTAAATTTATCAACAAACTGAATATCTTTATATGGGTCATTCTCCATAAAGTGTAACTTTTGAAGTAAGAAATTTTATAATTTCAAAACTTCAGGTTTCCTTTTTTTTACATTTTTATATTATTCTATTATTTACTAGAAGTAANTAATTAATTTGTAACTATAATATGAAAACTTGCAAAAAGGCTTCACTAATTCAATTTATCAACAAACTGAATATCTTTATGTACACTGTATCACTTTTATGTACAAAGAAATATAATGAATTCAGGACTGCCAACTACCATGTTTTTAGCAAAATGTTTTATAGATATTGATAACTAAAACTTTCAGAATTCTGGGAATTTTGCAAACATCTTAAAAGCATCAATAAGGAGAAATTAAAACAAGAAAAAAAAACCTCCAGGAGAAATTAAAACAAAAACATTAAAGAACAGGACAAATTTAAAGAGTATAACTCGCAGAAATCCCAGCAAATCTCTACTAGTCTTTCTTTTTTAAATAATAAATAAAATATGTAAGCTTAAAATCTTTTAGGCATCTTGACAGTTGTAGCTCGTACAATGGATCCTGACTCTAAAACATCTCTAAAGTTTATACTTAAAGGATAAAATAACTATCGAATTTTTAAAAAAAATTCTAGAATAGGTTGCATGTTGAATATATGTCAAGAACAAGAAAAACATACCTCTATTGAAATAAAAATAATACGCTGTTTTCCAAATCATTTCTGAAAAAAAAATTTATTTAGAAATTATACAATTACAAAATATATTTACGCTATTAACTAGGTAGTAATATCAAACTTTTAAGTATCAATTACTTTGTTTTTAAAATGTTCTTAAAATGTTATTTTAGTTTAACTGAAACTCTATGGTAATAGAACTTCATGGAAACTTCAGTCAATAAAATATAATTAAAATTAAATGCGTTAAAATAAAATTAAACACTAAAAATAACAATAGAATTAGAGATTAACACTTAATATATAATGCGAAGTGTCCAAATATTATATAAAACTAAACAAATAATTACTTTGTCAATAACGGTGATATTAATGAGAATTTATGTAAAAAACATGTGGACAAAGCGTTTCAATTAAAGTTTCATTAAGAAACCCAGGAAAAAACATTAAAACTACTTTCTTCTCATGCAATGGAGTCTCAATGCAATGAACCCCGTAACAAATGGCACATGCAGTAATAATTCAAGAATAATATAATATATATCTTGATTACTTAAAATATAAATATTACTGAAGCATACGTTTTAACATTATTGTAACTAACAAAGATGCAAATAAAAGCAAGAAATAAAGAGAAAAATACACTTACTAAATTATAACACCCTTCTTCCCACGATGCTTCCATGATGTAAACAAGAGTGATTGGCTGTGAAGTTCAGACAGAGAAACGGAAAGAACTAGAAAAACTGAGCTATAAAGATCAGCTAGCGTGATATAGATTTAACGAACCAATTTATCAATTCGCGGTAGCTCTATAGATTTAACGAACGACTAAAAGACGATTCTCGTCTTCTGTGGTTCCCATTCGTTTCTGAATTAATCGCACTTTTTCGCTTTTATAGATTCAATTGAATTGAATTAACTATATAGTAACAAAACAAATGTATTTATTTCATTCAAAAACAGTTTATTTTGTTTTATGATTTAAATTTATTAATTACAAATTTCCAAAACGGCCTGAAATTTATAAATTAATGAAGCAGAGTTTTATGTTTGAAGGTAAAAAGTTGAGATTTTAATTTATGTAAACGTATTTCCTTTGCTACGAAGTTGTTTGAAACCTGAACTAATTAATTTATTTCGTGAATTGATAAATTAGTTTCGGTTGGGAATATCATTGTTCTAGAATAAATTCAAATATAATAAATAAATAAATAAAAGCAATTCATAATAAAATTTAAAGTGATACAATTAATAATATTCTTTTGTCATCATGACTTTGATTAAAATAAATTTTGTAAATCAAAAAATAAATGAGTAAATAAGTAATAAACGAATAACAACACAATCTAGGGTAAACTAACCAGTGAAGGAACACTTAAGCTTCGCTTGCCTTTTAAAAAATCATATTAATTTCAAAATTCGTAATTTTAGTTAAATGACAGTGTCAACATATTTGTTACTAATTGCAAATTATGTAAAAAAAATTGTAGAGAACACAAATTATTTAGTTACAAAAGCA